TTTTAATCAACGCATCCATTCCTTTTTGTTATGGAAATCATCAAGCACAGGTATGAGATTAGGTATCTTGATGCAATATGTTGGAATCGAAATGCTTAATTCTGTTATGTTCCATGTAAAATTTTAGCAAAAAACCAAATTCAATGTCTCAAATTTCAAAGTCAATTCTATCCAAAGTTTCTTCAGGACAAAGCAACATACAACACTAATCGAGATAATCAATTTTAAAAGACATGAAAATTGAAAAGCATACATACTCTCGTTGCAGTGGCCATGTCCCTCTGCTCTCCCTTAAAGCCTCTGCACAAATGCATCAACAAACAAGAAAATTTTCTAAGTAAAACCTCAATGGGCTGTAACCATTAGCTAGAAACTTTTGAGTGAAACCCCAGTAGCAAATAAGAAGAATGTCATTCCGGTAACGCTACGGGAACTGGGGAGTTTGAGTGAGAAATGTAGAAAATTTAAGAGTTAGACATTGTTAAATCAAAATAGAAAAAAAAGATCAGAGAGATCTCTCAATTACTAGGGAAACCCCCCAGTGCCCCCATCGGACGTGATCCAACTACGTTACTGGAGAGGAAACATAAACCCCACAGTGCAAAAACATTTAGGATTGAAAGAAAGCTTTGTTAATTTAACTAATTTAAATTTAAAGAAAAATGAGAGTGAGTGAGAAAAAGAAGAGAAGAGTGTACCTTGGGAGAGGTTTTCTTCCTGAAGATGTTGAGGGTTTCTTCAAGATTTCATCTTTCGAAAACCTAACTTCCCCCCTGCAAGAGTTGAGTGTATGAATGTGCGTGTGTGCAGAGTGTTTTGCGTATGGGTTTGGGTTTCCGTAGAACAAAGGAAGAAGGAAGTGTTCTCGGGGAGCGTGCTTTGGCTCGGCCACGTTTATTCAACGGTACTGGTCTAACTAGCCGTTGTTTATGTCGTATTTACCTCAATGCCTTCACTTTTATTTTTTTTACCTACATTCTGGCTCCCACCGCCCCCACCACTCATTGGATCCAATTAATTGATTTCCCATTATTTTTATGTTATATTTGTAAGACTAATAACATTAATCCCCCTAAGTTATGACACACTGACAAGTTATCTAAATTTTCCAAAATAGTAGAAACACCCCTTAATGAACTGTTTGTGAATTATTAAGGGTGTGTTTGTTTATTTTTTGGTAGAATTTTTGAAAAAGTTGAGTTGGAGTGGTATTAAGAGGTAGGATTTGAAAACTAACAAAAACACTTCCTAGATTTGTTAATTTACTAGACACCCCTACAATAAAACATTGGCTCCCACGCGCCCCACCACTCATTGGATCCAATTCTAATTGATTTCCCATTTATTTTATATTATATTTGTAGTTAAGAGCATTAATACCCTAAGTTATGACATACTAACAAAGTTATCTTAAATTTCCAAAATAGTAGAAACACCTTAATGAACTGTTTGTGAATCATTAGGGTGTGCTTGTTTTATTATTTTGGGTAGAATTTTTGAAAAAGTTGGTTGGATGGTTATTAAGGGTAGGATTTGAAAATTACCAAAAACACCCTAGGTTTGTTAATTTACTAAACCCCTACAATAAAACATTGACTATTAACAAAACAACTCACCACGCATTAAGTGCCAACAACATCCAATACTGTCGAAGAGTGGCCGTCAATCGTCGTAATGGCGCACGACTAACTGGATCTGGCCATTCATGCGCCAATATGGTCTTTTCCGGCCAAATCTACAAACAGAATCTGGCATTTGGTTTTCAACGACGGCCAAAGATCTGGCTGTCAACGGCTAGACTTTTGCTATAGATCTGGCCGAAAATGCTAGATTGACATACTACTAGCAAAATCCAACCGATAGTGCGTTATTACGTCGATTCCGACCACCTTCCAACGGTGATGGAAGGTGGCGGAATATATATATATTATATATATATAATATATATATATATATAAAATAAGGAAATATAATTACAAGTTTATAAAGATAGAAATATATCACAAAATTCTTACAAATTTAGGGAAATTTGTTTTAAAAAATAATACTAAATTCTTAAATACGATCGAAATCTCCTCAATAAAGTAAATAAGGATCATGTAAATGGATCCTTGGAGAAAACAATAAGAAATTAGGCTGTTTGATTTGTGCTTCAAAAATAATTTTCAAAAACTAAAATACGATTCAAATTTTTTAATTGTATTTTAATATTTTTAATATTTGAAAAAGTGTTGATATAAAAATTTAAAAATTGTTTTCAGATTAAAAGTTGTAGAAAACTGCTAAAACGACTTCTAATTGTTTTCTAATTTTATATTGTTTTTAGGATTATATTCAAAAACTGTTTTTTTTAAACAATTATACCCGTTTTTACCAAACGCTTTTTATAAGATCTGTTGTATTCTTTATTATCAAAAACCAAAAACTGATTTTAAATTCTTATCAAACGGATCTTATATATGGTTAATAGTAAAAGAAAACACATATTTAAAATTAAGCAAATTAATATTAAACTTAATATCAATATCATTAAATATTGAGAGACATTGATCATTGTTGATCCAACGGTGATAAGTAAGGATTAAGGTAGTTACAGTCAATGCCAACTTAGCATCTTGGATACTGTTAGATCAACAAAGATAAACAATTTACCAAGAGTGTCAAAAATTAAGTCAAAAGATTAAATCACGTAATCCCTTATCTAGATAATTAAATATAAACACCTTGTAATGCAAACACACTATAGTTTCTTGCATAAACAAAAACATACCTTATGATAAGAGTAAGTCAATTGATTACCAAAAAATAAGTAATTAGTCCATGTTTAGCCAAGATTAATATCTTGTTCTTATAATCTTCATGTTATGTAACAACCTTAAAACGCATAAATAATATAAAAGATCTACCTTCTTACCTCAATATATGATAAAAAAAACATTTAGTAAATATGATTTATTTAGAATATAGAAATTCTATTGACTCACTAACAGTTAACTAAAACTATTTTTGTCCTTAGGGGTCGTATCCTTTACTCTCAATAATATGAAAATTCCCATATTTAATAATCTTAATTCCCAAAATGTTAATGTTTTGTTTAAATGATAGATTAACCATAAAAACACATTACTTAACTAATTGTCATTAATAAAATAACAGAACAAAATAATTGAAATACACTCGACTACCAACTCAAACAATATATAATATGGTCTAATATGTTTAGTTGGACTATTAAACCATACACTTAAATATTAGACTCATAGTCTAGTGTTATATATTAAAAATATATAATTTGTTGTTCATTATAAGTAAATCATTAAATTTTATGACTAAATTTGTTCTTTAAATAAATTCTATACATTTTCGAAAATACAATTATTGAGTTGATTATATATATCCAAACCCTAATAATATCATAACAAAGCCAAGAGTTGCACCGTAATTAAAAGGAGTTTTAATCACTTTTTAAAAGCCAGACCGGACTGGCCAGTCCAACAGATCGATTGGGACCGGGTTCTGTGTCCGGTCCGAACTAATATAAAACTTGCTATTAGTTAAAAAACTGTTTAAACCCACTATTAAACAGATGAACATTGCGACCTTCCCGGTGAACGGACCGCTTGGTAAACTAGGTCAATGTTTTAAATGAAAAAAAAAAAAAAAACCATAAATCTAAGTTTTTTTCACGAGACTCCACTCCACCCCACTCTCTTCAATCTCTCAACTCTCTAAAATCGCAACTCCCTGCTCAAAGTAATTGCACTCGGTCTCAATTCAATCTCTCAACTCCACTCTCCCTTGGACCCTTGCTCAATGACGACAGCACCTCCCTCGGTGGATTTCGACAACAACGCACCTCCCTTCTTCCTTGCTCGACGACGCACCTCCCTTCTCCCTTGCTTGATGACGGTAGCACCTCCCTCACTTGATTTCGGTGACGACGCACCTCCATTCTCCCTTGCTCGATGACAGCAGCACCTCCCTCCCTAAATTTCGACGGCAAAGCACCTCCCTTCTCCTCTCTTGCTCGACGATGGCAGCACCTCCCTCGCTGGATTTTGGCAACGATGCACCTCCCTTCTCCTCCCTTCTCCCTTGCTCGATGACGGCAACACCTCCCTCGCTGAATTTCACAACGAAGCACCTCCCTTCTCCCTTGCTCGACGACAGAAACACCTCCCTTGCTGAATTTCGACAACGACGCACCTCCCTTCTCCCTTGCTCGACGACGACGGATGACGACGCCTTCCTCCTTTGCTGGAATCAACGAAGACAACACTTCTCTTATTCAAAATCGATAAAGACAACGCCTCTCTCTTTTGTAAAGATATTTCCACTATCTTTATTTGATGAATCTATTACTTTGATGCATAATTTATTCACTAAATTTGTATGTAAAAAACACTTACACCAAATGTTTTATTATTAATTATTATGTATTTTGTCATTTAATTTGTAATGGAAGAACACATCATGTTTGGATTGTTATTGAGTTTGAATTGGGTAGTAATTAAGTTGGTATTCTTATTGAAAATCTGAAATTTTTCAAAAAAAAATATATATTTTTTTTGCAGTGCTGACGTCACCGATCTAACCAATTAGACCAATGGACCCGTGACCCGGGCAATGAAGCGGGTTGCCCTCCAGTCCGAGTTTTAAAACAATGGTTTTAATCTCGACCCTCCTAATGTTTAATCAAATAAAAAAAAATTTAAAAAAAAAACTCTTGAAATTTCAAAAATGACATAAAATCATTTATCATTAGTGAGCAGTTGGAATTTATGAATTTATAATACGATAAAATAAAACATACTTATCTAATTACCCCTCTACCATTTATTTTAACACCAAACACTTAATATAGAATAATTATTTAATTACAACTAACCACAAAGGCGTTATTGTTATTTAATTATACCTAGGGAGATTATTGTTATTAACCCTAACTGAATTACTGAAATGAAAAAAATAAAGAAAGAATAAAGCACAAGAATAGCGGAGGAAAATTACTAGCTCTGAAATTTGAGTAACCTTGGCTGATGTAATAGTAATAACAGATAGTGATACAATTAACAATTAACAATTCCCCCCAAAATGATCAAATTTAACCATCAAACTATGCGTTTGTTTTTGTTCTTTTGATCGGGGAAAATAAAATGGTCCCATCTTCAACCCAAAAAAGAACTACACAAATAAGGGAACAAAACAGAAATGGTTCTATTTGTCACACACTTTGTATATATAGTGTGCCTCTACAAAACTTGTGGTTAAATACAATTCTTTTGCGAAACATATGAATGTGATATACCCTTCAGCCTGGGGGTAATCAGAACACCTGCCAAAAAAAAAAAAAAAAAAAAAAAAAAAAAAAAAAAAAAAAAAAAAAAAAAAAAAAAAAAAAAAAAAAAAAATTCAACCATTAGTAATCCATACTCAAATCTTGCTTCGTAATTTAGTTTCGGGTAGAAAGATGCTTCAGTAATTAGCTATGAAAGCAAAAAGATGACGAGAATCACAATATCGTTTCACACAGATGATAGTCAAATAGTTTGGGATCGGTGTACAACAAGTACTGTGTTGAAGATTATTTTCAGAATATGTGGATGAAAATTAGAGGGAAATAAAAAAGGAATGAACATGCCGTCAATCGTGACAATATCAATGAATTAGTCACCAAATTCTAATGTTCGATAGTTCTCAAACCCAAGCGATTGTTAAGACTTGAAATAACCAAAGATCATAGATGTGTACGTCGATACACAAGGGCATGGTTTAGTAACAGTGCTTTAGAAAAATGATTTCACAAAAGTGTGATACTATTGAATTGGAAAGCAGACCACTGAGTTTCAGAATATGAAAGCATCATAATAAGTTCCGCTTATTGAGAAAGATTCTCGTTTTGTGTATACTTCTGTTGTGAATTTGTGAAGGTATAAAAAGAAATGCAAGCAACAGATACATACTTTTGAACAATCAAAGAATAAATGTACCTCAAATTAACTCTACATGGAAAGTGCATAGGCAGAGAATTGGTTCTGACATCCCCTTTTGTTCCCTCCAAAATCTGGTTAGCCTTCATCAAAGAAGCAATCAATTTTCTACTCTACAACAAAATTTGTCAGCTAGCTTCAGCTCCAAATCTTTGCGCCAAGAATTCATCAAGTTGTCCCCAATTAGGGACACCAGAATCACTTGAAATATCAGAAGGCAATGATCGAATGCATCCTAGAATATGTTTGATATCGCGATGCAGCCTGGTACATGAATAAAAAAAAAAAAACATAAAATAAAAAATTGCTACCAACACAAATATCTAAAACTAATTCCCAATTCAGGAACAGAATATTTCTGATAGAAAACAGTGGGCATATTACCTTCCCTTTGCTTGTGGAGTGTTGATCTCTAAGCGCAAAAATGATTCTGAAATTTGTGAATGGAAGATTACAACTACTTGCCTGCAGAAAAGTATTCCATATAATTAAATATCAGAAATTATTTTCTCTCATTGATTATCTACAAAGAAGAAATAATCACAATGTACCAAAAGGAAAGGGAAGAAGAAAGAGGGTTCTCATCCAGTAGAATTCATCATAAATATTGCATGCATTACAAAAACTAATCACTTGGAAGCAATATAGACACTGATATTGCAAATACAATGACGACTTTGTCAAGTTATTATGTGAACACCACACCATTACTAATCAAAGATAGGATAATACCTCAAATTTTGTTTTTCATGAGAATTAAAACTCAATTTCTCTTAAAGTGAAAGCATCAGTCAAATAAAGAGAAATTCTGGAATTCTTAGGGCATGTTTGATATAGAATTTAAATGCAATTTTTAGTTTTTCAAAAAAGGGATACAACAAATCTTATGAAAATGCATTTGGTAGAACTGAGTCTGAACTATTTTCGAAAACAGTTTTTGGATACAATCCTTAAAACCAGTGTAAAATCAAAAAAAGATTAAGTCTGTTTTGGCGTGCTTAAGGTGTTTTTCCTGGCTGTTTTGCTTTGTTTAGGCATTGTCCCTTCCTGTTTTAGGGACGTGCTTCTCCGGGTCCGTCCCACTTAAGTTTTTATTCTTTATTCTTTATAAAATTACAATTACCTAAAAATAAAAGATTAAGCCTTTTTCACAGTTATCTACAGTTTTTAATCCGAATTTTTTTTTCAATGTTACATCAAACACATTTTCAAATATTAAAAATATTAAGATACAACTCAAAATTTTAATTGTATTTTAGTTTTCGAAAATTATTTTTAAAACGCAAATCAAACAGACCCTTTAAGTAAATTATAACCAACATGATAAGTACTTAAACTTCAAAAAGTTGTAAGCTAAGTCATTTGCGACATCTTCATAAATAAAACACAAAAAAGCAACAATTTATGGCAAATTCACTTTAGATTTTTTTGTCACTTACATATTACCTCCAACATTTAAAACTAAGCAAAGTCATTTGCGACATCTTCACAATAAAACACAAGAAAGCAACAATTCATTGCAACTTCACTTAGATTTTTCCATCACTTACATTTTACCTCCAATACTTTTAACCAATTAAATACTCTTAAGGAATTTGCAGAACATTAAGTGCTATTCTACTTCTACACCAAACCATCCAGTTGACTTTTGAATAAGAATTTTAATGTTTCTTATTTATTTATCAGTTCAAGATAACTCACCTGAAAATTGCTTGAACATCAACCTCATGTAAAGTTCGAGATAAGACACGTTGAAGGTAGCCCACTTCCTATTATATCCAATTGATGGAAAATAATAGTCAATATCCAGAACGTGTGATGGAAAAAAATAGTAAATGCAATGTGGTAAATGATTAATCACAATACTTACCTTTGTAAGTGATCTAGCAAATTGACTTGGTTGTGAATCAGCATCCTCAGGTCTGTTCCAGCTCTCAACAATCTGAGGCAATCCACGCAGGTGAACTAATAGCCTTTCTCTCATTATTTGAACCAGCTTTGTATGTATTTCATCCCGGTGAACCTTGTAATCCTGATTAGAGACCCAAAACAAAAGATAAGTTCATGGTCTGTAGACTGAAAAGTTACACTTGTATGTTTTCCCATTCATTAATACATAAGAACGAATGAAAAATGCAAGCATATCCTAGAAAAACATTGCAGCTCCCCAGAAAACAGTATGCATCTACAAAAGATAAATAAGCAAATTGGTACAAGATGACGATGATGTTGGAGCTCCATCCAGAGACAAGACATCAACCTTACTCACTAAACATGAAACTGCCAGATTAACATCAGCAGCAGATGCGACCCTTGGTAAATTGCAAATAGAAAAAGTATATATATTAGAAGAAAAAATATACACATCAGTGCATACAAATGGGATGTTCCTACTTATTGCAAGATCATATAAATTGTCATTTGAAATTGACAACAAAAACATTGAGCATCACAAGTGCACAGCCAATTAGTATAGCTGAAAACGTTACCCTAAATTGAAGTTAATAAGTTAGTTGGGACAAAGTTGTCTGAGTATTAGGGGAAGTGGTGTGGTACATACGCAGAGAACTACAGTGAAAGTAAGAGATTAAGTGACATAACTATACCTGAGCTACTCTGTCAATCTCTGATAAAAGCAATGCCTTCCGCGTCTCAGGTACTTTTAGGAAGAGAATTTGCCTGATAGCTTAGTACAAACACAAAGCCAAATGTCATAAACAGGAACTTCTACATATATATTCTAATGTTGCACAAAGAAAACATCAGATGCACACAAAGAAGGATAGATTTAAGCATCATAAAAAATTAAGACAAAATGCTAAAAGTGATTCTTGGTTATACCAAGATAAGCATGCAAAACAAGCCAGCAAATCTTCCAAAAGCATATGTCATGTAAACATGTACCATTAACTAGAAAAGAACAACAGAAGCTGTGCAAATTCACACTATTTCCATGTCAATACTAAACAAAGTCCATAAAAATGAGGCAACTTTACACTTTTATCTGTACTGATCCAAGCTTTTTCCAAATTGTGCCTAAAAGCTACATATTATCAAGTTTGTTCTAAAACTTTCCGCTAACAGACACTTCTATTGATCAAAGGAAGCTCCAACAACTTTGTGTACCTCAATATCTAAAAAAAAGAGGTACAAGATAGAGAAGCAGAATCAAACATACATGCAAGCATGGTGAAAAACAAAGCAAAATAACATTAACCTCACACACAAACTGCTTCATTAACAGTTTGCAAATGAAATATAACACAGATAATGCATCCACAATGTTATTAAAGAGGACCCTTACAATTTGAACAAGTAGCAGAATATTAAATTATCATCACCTACCAGGAATAATTGCATAAGTAAAACTGATAACTTGACTTGCTAGGGCCAGATGTTTAGAGGTAATAGACTTCAAACCAGACACCTGCAATTCCATATAAACCAATTAAAACTATTGAGATGATTAATCTACATATGATTAAGTTCGTATATAACGCAATATCAGTACAGAATGAATAAAAAAGATTACAAAAGTGTTTACCACCTATAAACATGAATTTATAAATCTTACAAAAAAAATAAATTAAATAAAAAGAAAAGGAGAGAAAAAGAATTTATAAAATTTCAATTATCAATTCAAAGACTTCCAGCTACACAAGATATCCAAAAGAAAAGTCCATAAACAACTCTAGATAGATCCGTAAATAGTTCTGACTCAACAAAATCAGTTAAACATTCCAGGACCTTCCTGAATTTTTATTACATTCAAAAAACAAGTTTCAACAAATCACAGACGAAATTTTACCTGCATAGCACCAGCACCAAGAACAAGCTGACAAGTCCTGGTATTGAAAAATTTTAAAATCTCCACAACACGATGAACAACTTCCGAAGAGAGTGCAGGCAAATAGTTATTCATATCAATGTACTCTGACAACATCTTCACCAATATTAAGCCACTGGAGAAAAGAATAATAAAAAATTTACATCAATACCCATTCATCATAAAAGCTTCTACTAGCTTATAGCAATAAAAATTATATCAGAAAGGAAACTAAACGTAGAAGATTAGCATCTCAATTGAAGAATCAGTCAACACAAGGATAAAAGGAAAACAAGCATCACAAAAAACACAGCAGATTCAAAACAGAAAATCTGTTTATGCTCAAGCAAAAGAAAAATTTTGTAGGGAAAAGAAACAAGGAAACAACAGAGAAAAAGAAAAGATGCAAAACAAGATAACTAACCAGTTTACCATGTGATAACCAACACCTCCATAGGTAAGGGTTTGAGATGCAGATTTTCCACGCTCCTTCAAGTTACTATTGTTACTCTGAACAGGGGGCGACCTGGAATCTGCTTTATTTCTTTCAATTGCCTCAGCTGAAGATTTAGATTTCAAATGGGGATTATTTGGTTGAGATATTTCACTTGAATCTGTCCGTCCAATTTGCTGATCATTTTGTGGTCCACTGTCATTGTTTGTGGCTACTTCACTGTAGTTTGTTGTTATATTACCTTGGACATCATCCATACTATCAGAAACCAATTCTTCAAAGCAAAATAATGAAGTTACAATGGCCTGAAATTCATCAGGAACATCTACTTCCGCCCATGTTTCTTGGTCAAGTACCGCCTTGATTTTTGTCATCTACAAGGACCAATAAACAATTACTTACTAACAAACATAGTTCTACAGAGTAAAGTCTATAAGAACTAAATCTATTTAATCAGGAATTCAAACTAACTCGAGATTCATGCTGGAAGTCAACATAGGCTTTGGCTTGTGACTGCAGTGTTCCTCGAATGCTATATCCCAACCTTCCACCAATCTGTTATGTTAGCACAGAATGGAATCAAAACCATAAACAAATAAATTGCATCCTCCAATTCAAATACCCAAAAAAAAAAAAAAAAAAAAAACGATACCTTCTCTGTAGCAGTTATAAACTCTTGGGTGATGTTGTATATGCTCAAGAATTCCTGCAATTTCAACCTAGGATGCAGAAGTACACGGACTCCAAGGAGCTTTGCCCATCTTCCATGAGCAGCATCACATGCAGCAAAGACAGCTTCCGTGTTTTCTCTCAATACGTCAGCTCTGTCAATGACAGGATGTAACATCCACATTTTTGATAGTAATATCAGTTAGAATCAAACGAAACCTTGGGAACTAGAAACCACTTCTAAATTGCAATCAAGTTAAACATAGATTCTATGAAGGTTGGAAGAAGTAAATAACAATAAAGAAAGATCGATCAAAAAATCCTTCTGTGTAATGTCCATCTCAAACAGGTGCTGCAGATACCACGCTACAGCACAAGGTAAGCACAATTGTACTTAGAAAGGAGCCAAACTGGCACCTTTTACAGCATAATAGCAGCTGATGCGCTACAGAGAAGTAAAAGCTGCTTATACGTTGGTCACAAGCATGAGATAATTGGAAATCATTAAAATGCACTCTTAAGAACTACGCGGGGACAATCTCAATGTTTGAAAGGCTTCCCATCAACAAATTCCCACAGTTCAGCTAAAAACTAAATCTAGCAAGAAAGAAGGAAAGAATTAGACCTTCATTTACTATACAGGTAAAGCTGGAAGGAAAGATTTACACCCTCTTTGTTCAAACCATAGGTAACAACTACCAACTGCCACGGGAACTTATCCAGCTTTCAACAAATATAATTTTTTTCATATGCTCACTAGAAAGAAAGGAGTTAGTATAATCTCTAATTTTTCCCTTTCTTTATTGGCAAAAATACTAAATTTACAACTAGAAAATTTTACATCCCAATATGGCCACAAACCATTAACAAGACATTTTCACTCTTTCTAACATAATTGACTGATGGAGAAAAAGAAATTATGGAGCCTCATACTTTAAACCCCTTTACATACAAACAACATGAGCAAATATCTAAAAATAATCAAAGATTAATATCATATACAAATGAAAAAGAGATCTGACATGAACTTAAATCATGTGAATAGCATTGTGAAACTAAAACAATGAAAAAGATTTTAACCTGAAATTTCTTGTCATATTTGTAGGGCTGGCTGCATCATTCGCTTTTCCCTGAAATGAAGGGATCTTGGCAGCATTTCTTAGAGGTGAATACGTAAGTGAGCCACCTTGAACAGAGGTATCTTGAGCTGTTTCTGCGGCTGCAGCACCGACTGCAATTGCAGCAGCAACTGAATCGGCAGCATAATGATCATCAATGTTGCACATAATCCACTCAATTGCCTTTTTCACTTCAGCAGCCCGCATCAAATGTGCCTGCATTCACTAAAAGAAAATAATTCATATTACATCTTTTTTAAATAATAATTAATCTGAAAAAAGAAAGTTCAAAGTTCAAATTACAAAAGAAAGACTCTGTTTATGACTATCCATTCATCATAATTGATGCTTAAAAGTTTAAACTAGTAAAACAATCAGACTGGCTTAAATTAAAAGAGGCTGATAAATTCTGGATATTTCCTTTTAAATTCAATGCATTCAAGATGATTTTTCATAATGTACTTCTGTATGGATTGAAAGTTACATGTTAACACAAACCCAACCCCCTCTCCCGAACACCATAAATAAATAAATAATACGAAAACAAAAGGAGAAAAAACGAGGAATCACAGCCATTGGGAGAGAGAGAGATACAGTTTCTTCATCCAGCAATTGGAGCTCATGGAACCCATCAATCTGGCAAGGTCCAACAATTTAGATATCACCACAGCTGGTTCTTTCAGAAGGAGGTTAAAGCACCTGCCATATCAGAGAAGCCCAACTTCTATCCCATGTTGGGCTTTAACTCAAGAAGTTGGACATGCTACCATGTCTCACAAGTAAACTATCCTATCTTGGGTCATCCAAGCAAGTACTGTATACTTGATATTCAAAAATTACATCCTGCCCAACAAAATGACCATGCCCATACCCATTGTTCACTACTGAATTTATCAAATCACAATGAGGTTCCAATCTTGAATTAGTCAATGGGCATTTGATAGTCTTAGGATTACACAGTTGTGTGTGGACAACTTATCCATTCTTGTATACGTTTTATTTTAATAGACTATCTTTGTTTCCTAGTAAAGAAAAAGGTGATTCAATTCAATAGTATTTTCTATTGCAAGAATAGCCAGATAGTAAAGTATACATTACCCGAACAATCAGGAAAATAGCACCCAAAAGTTGAACAAAGCTTTCAGATGTCAGACTCCTCAACTTGCTTGCAAGCGATGAGCCTCCACCTAAGTCACCAAATTAACGTTAAGAAATGGGAAAAGGCAAAGGAACAGAACAAGCACACACAAGGTTGAGTCTGAAAGGAAGTAATATCAGACATAATAAATATATTGTATGATTAAATTCTCACCATCTGCATCCACTGTACGATCTCCAGAAGAGAAATTCGAATCCAGAGGTTGAGCAACAAGAATGGGAAGCAGCTCTGCCACAGCAGTCTTAATAGCAGTTTTCATATCCGCAGTTAGCGTGTCACGATATATCCTCAAAACAGAGGGCAACTTAGCCTGAAAAGAACATTCTCTGTCAAACATTTAATTGCATTGAACCCAGAGGCTAACACCACTATTTTAAAGCAGTGAACGGGAGCGTTAGATGATTAACAGACCCAAGTAAATAAATTAAATATTTACAATAAAAAACAATGGAAAGGAATAACAAAGAAAGTAGTCATAAAAAATAACTCACTGTTCTGAGCAACCCAATGACAAGAGGGAGAAGCCTATCTCGAAAATTAGATGTTTCTTCCTCATCCAATGTAACCTTCTAAATAAATCAATCAAGTAATCAGTCAGACAAATTGCATCATCAAACTTAATCATGAAGTCTACTTTAAAAGAGTTAATCAAAAACAACACAGCTGTTTTTCTTTGCTAATAAACACATAGACACTCATTAATGCAAAAAAGAGAAAAAGAAAGACACAAAGGTGAACTAAAAGACTACCACAATTAAAACAAGGAAAACAAATCAATTCCTGACAAGCTTAAAACCTGATACCTTGACAGGATCCCAAACATGAACAAAAAAAAATCCCAATTTTTTTTTTAAATAAAAGAAAGAATAACCCTCGAAGAAACAAACACTTAAAAAGACTAAATGTCAACTTTATTTCACAATGAACCAACCTCATACTTTATGATCTCGTCAAAAAATCCTTCTATTTCTTTTGTCAAATGACACAGAAAATGGCTAACATATTACATCATCACCGAAATAAAGCTCCTTTGCCACATCAAATGCACAAAAGTCCATAAACAACAATAAATAAGATGCCAGAATAACCCACAGCGTGATATTTCAAAATATCAGATAAGACTAATCATATAAGTTGAACCACCTGACACCATAAGGGCTAATATTGCATGCCAAAGTCAGATGCACAACTAGAAAACTAAAAACGGCACATAAGAATACTGTGCTTCTGGCATCAAGTGAAAAGGAGATGTGAAAGCTTCTTACGAGACAAGAGATAAGAATAAGGCACAAATAAATTATTGATGCAGAACTTCTAACTCTCATATGGAACAAAAATGATTACAACACACAAGAATTTCACTGCTAATAAAGACACATCATTGGCCTTAAAACAACAAATCCAGGTTTATGAAGCAAAACTTCTTCACATCATCAAATAGCCAACCGAAACCGAACCCCAAAGATTGCTCATAAACCAAATTTGCTTAATTATAACAAATAATTGTGTATTTTCATATTTGGGATCTAGTGAAGACATGATATGAAACTGCTATTTCCTGCTGGAAGTGTTAGACATCCATCTTAGGAGTGATGCCTAGGTTCTTTCTTTCGCCAATGAAGAAATGAGTACTTATGACGAACCCCTAAGGTTTGTAGAAGTATCAATTAGGCCCAAAAGTTTTTGAATTATAAGGAGACCTCCACGCATGCATGGCCATTGATGAACATAAAATTCTCATCTTGAATTATATTAAGACCCCTATAATTAGTCTTTGCTTGTTAACTAATAGCCTTAATGGAAAGTCTCTTTATAATTTAAAAAACTTTGGGTTTTTTGAGTCTAACTGACACTTTCTTAAGGTTATGTAACCTCTGATGCCAGTTGGATGAGTGATACATCTATATCAGGTGCAAAACACCTAGGTTTCTTTCTTTATCTTTTTTCTCTATTATCTCCCTTATCATCCATCTTATCCTTTCCCAGCCTTCCTTTATCTACTTGACCTGCTATAGTCTCTCCTAAAACCTTAAAGCTTACAAGGCAACAGATAAACACATTACAACTTGATTTCAAACTTGTGCAAGACTAAATTTAGCAAGTCCATGTGTGTTCTTGGGACATTAAAAAGGTTGCTCTAATATGATGGTTGAGATTTGAAGGTGCTAAAAAACCAATGTCTATGCAGAAAACTCCCAGAACCTACCACACTAAATCAAATTCTAAAGCATGACCAACAAAAGTGAAACATCATCTACAAAGAATCACTAATTATTGTAATAGAGAAATTATTTGTAGATACTAAGCTGGTATGTCATGTAATGATAAATATAGTTCCGCTTTGTCTATAACTCCACAATTTACTGCAGAACAACACTCCATAGCAGCAATGATTAAGAAATTGCTTCTGCAGACAAATATCACAAAACTGTACAAAAGTGAAAACCTAAGAGTTCAGTTTCAACTTTAAAAAGCCATAATTAAGCTTACTTCATCATCCTTCCCATTTGAGGAAATAGATGCTCTAGCTTTTGCTTTGGATAAAATAGCCACATCAGTATCTCGAGCATCGTCTATTGCAGCATGCATAAACTCTGCCGAAAGAATGCTACAAAAATAAATTTAATAATTAAAAGAAATTACTTTTTGTTAAAAATGAGAAAAAACAGAATAGCGTGCACATACGATGTGACAACTGAAATCTCATTGCCAATTGGAATCATAATTACCACAAAACCATCATTAACACCATTGCTAGTGGCATAGAAGAGTACTCATCATCACATTCTCATTGCAAAATCTTAGTTGATTAAAATTCTCATTGCCAAATCTTAGTTGATGATTAAAATATAAGTTGAGTGGTGGATATAGCATTATTGCAATCACACAAGGACACACTGAACATATGATGATTGTGTTGCTTCCCTTCCACATGGCTGGGATTGAGTTGCAGTAAGGGAGAGCTCCATGGAAACCCAAAAACACCCATTGGAGTTACTTTTAGATTTCTTAAGTTGTCAACTCAGGAGCAACTTATCCTAACATAGAATCTGTGCATGTCAATTTTATTGGTTGAAAAGATGTTATAAAATCAACATTAACCAAGGTATCAACACCAAAAGACTAGTTATAAAAGCCTTCAAAAGATTATCCCTCATCACAAACCAGCTCACAACTTCAAGCAAGTTTCAAAAAGAAATCTCAGTAATCTTCTAATTTGCCGGAACCCAGAGGGCAGTGTAGAACAAGAAAAGGGTGACACAAATCAGAACACACACAGATAATGTCACAGTTTAATATCACCTAAAAAATTTAAAATGTACCTGTTAATTGAATCTATTGAATTTGCTACATGATCCCGAAGATGACGAAAACAATGCAAACCAGTAAGCTCATCCCCATCCTATCAAAGACAGAAACAATAAGACAAGTGGAAATTAAAACTTCAAAAGATTGAAAATGTAATAATTCTTTGATCAGTGAAAGAAAAAAGACATTACAATTTTAAATCTTATACTCAATACTACATAGCCCATGCAAATTTCAATAAATAAGGATAACAGAAGTACAAACGATGCTTGATACTATAATGGAAAAAATAGAAGTTCTCCGAAATCAAACTCAACAAAAACTTTGGAACAATAAAGTAAAACAAAATTAAAGCATGTTTCATCGCTCGAATATAACACACCAGCAAAGTCTGCAAATCATCAGTGACATCCAGAGCTCCAGCACAATCTGCGGATGCAACAAGCTGTGTGACAGAAACATAAAAGCAATTCATTTTCCAACATCAACAAAAAGCAATAGCAAGATATCCAGACCATAAAACTTTTACCAGAGCCCTAAGCATAAATGAAAATGGACTAACAATAACAATTTTTGGATAAAATATAGTAATTTGATGTCTAATAGAATATATTTTGTATATCAGTTAATAAATCTATAATTTCTACTCAAACTTCATATTGGGTTTAGAAATTCAAGAACAAACAAAAAAATGCAATGAATCAGCAAATTCCATCAGACTTAACAGCCTTAAAACAAACATTTTCCAAAAATACCACATTACTGCTGCTTATACCACAATATGTTAGATTCTAAAAAATCTCAACAGAAAATTGAATCTAATTATCTATACAGCCACACTCATTCTACAATATCACAACAGTAAATCACAGGACAATCATTAATTTAAACATATCCAATGATCTACAATACCCAGTATCCATAGTTCTTTTCAGATAGCATTACTATATGTGGTTGTAAGGAATAAAACAAGCAGACAACAAAATAAGCATATAACAACCAAAAAAAAATCTAGACACCAATACAAGAATAATTACGAAATAACTAACAGAACAAACAGCAAACAGTATTAAAAGAAAATAATAACATTTTAAGAATTGTATCTAATTATCCAGGAAGGCACGTTCATTCTACAATACCTCGACCTTAGATCACTAGATGATGATTAATTTATCCATATCCAACCATCTAAAAGACCAACTATCCATAATATCATTTCAGATATTATTACCATCCGCAGTTATAAGAAATAATACAATAATACAATGTAAAGAGCACAATAACTAAAATAACTAACAAAACAAACAGTAAACAGAATTACAAGAATAACATTTAATAATGTACCAGTTTAAGTGTAGATACAGCCTGGTTAACATCCAAGATAAGTCTCAATTTCTGCTGCAAAGCCAACAAATTACTCCTTGTACCATTCAACTCCTGAATCTGCCTCGCAGACTCCACCAAATCGGTATCCAAAAGCCGAATCGTCTCCTTCAATGCTCGAATTCTACTACACCCCTCCACAATCTTCACGTTCAAATCCTGTAACTGCCCCTGCGCCTCGAAGAACGAATTCGAACGCAACGAAATCTCCTTCACCAAATGCAACTCCACAACATCCAAATATTGCGAAAGCTTCTCTTGCAAGACAATGTTCTCCGTCACGTTAGAAAACGGACACGCTGCTCGAAAGGTCGCTCCCTCCGACAACGCGAAATCCTCTTTAAAATACAGCGCCGGAACTTCCCGTAAACACGCCACCAACGCCTCACCTTGCCCGCCGATACTCTCCAAATCGATGCTCTCCTTGCTCGCGTGGTTACGAATGTCTTCGAATCGGTGATACGATTCGGAAATTGTCGACAAATAAGGTTGGAAATCCGATCGCGTCAGGTCAGAGGAGATTTTCGTGTTAGGAGCTAACGGCGCGAATTCGGGAGGAGAAATGAACGTGGAAGAGGACCACCACCCGCCCCAGGAAGGATCCGACCCGACGTTAGGGTTGTTGAGAATCGACGAGAGGCTTTGGATTGTGGCATCGGAGATAGATTTGTTGAATTTCGACAAGGAGGACGACGTTCTAGAATGAGTGGCGGATTCAATCCGAGACAAGGACCTTCCCGAGAGGGAAGGCTGTGGATCCATGGAGCTACTCAATGTGTTAACAAAGCATGAAAGAATTGAGCGGAATTCAGGTGACGAAAGCGAAACACTAGATCTGGGATTGAGGCTGAATGGACGGCTGAGATCGAGAGTTGAGGTGTGATATGAAGTTCGAGATCTCAGTGCTTCATTTCGTTTACGTTTGCTCTGGTTTGATTTGGATCTGACAAGAAGGAGACTGGAGGGAGAGGAGGAACACATTTTGGGGTAGTAAGCCTAAATTTCAAATAACCCCCACTATTTCTTAAATTATCAAAAATTCTCTTTTAGTTACTTTCTCCCCCAAATATAGATTTTTTTTTTTTTTATATAACTAAGGTATCCAGGTCAGTTTGCGCACATCTCAACTAATCCCAAAGTCCATAGAACACGCCATAAGCTTAATAGGCCAAGTAAGTTACAAATGTAGTCGATGACCATTTTATAAGACTCAAATACAAGACATTTAGGTAACCCACTCAAATGGCTAAAGTCTTGTCGTCTGGCCACAAGACTAATAGTTAATATCTTTTTAGTTATCTTTTCTAGCCAGTTTGAAGGGGTTAATTTATTTTTCCTTGAGAAAAAGCTAAATATCAAGGGCCCTACAATTGTTGAAAAGTATCAGATACCTCCTTATATTCCCAAAAACCCTAGGGGGTGCGTTTGGTTTAGGGTCATATAAGATTACTCCGGTAATCTTCATTTAATTTTCAAGATTCTCTTGTTTGGTTTGTAAGTAATAAAATATTACAGTAATCTTTTGTTGCAAATAATGTTTACTATTGGTAATATAGGAGATAATCACATTACCTTGTTAGGGGGTGTTATTAAAAGATTACCGAGGTAATCTAATCTTAAATTATTTTGCCCTTAATTAAATACCATTTCAACCACAATTGCCCTCGAATGTTTACTAAAAAACCATTACCCAGACCCCCTACATTCGAGAATTTAGCTAAAACACCATAGTCACAAAAAAGTTTGAAAGTTAACAAAATACCCCTAGCCACCCAAGACCACCGTCAACTGCCGATGGCAATTGCCACATTAGCGCACGACCAACAGGATCTGGCCAGTTGTGTACCGACCTGCTTGTTTCCAGCTTTCGATCTAGTCGAAAACAACCAAATCACGGCCAAGATCTGGCCTTTTATGGCAAGATTTGTGGCCATTTCACGGCCACATCTTTGGCCATAAAACGGCCTTACTAGCACACGTCCGGTGGTGATAGCTGGCTATCGGTAGTCGCTTGGGGGTGGGTGGGGGTGATTTTGCTACAAATTAAAGTTTCATATGGTTGTGGTGTTTTAGCAAAATTTCAAATACAGGGGTTTAAAAGAAATGATTCAAAAAATAATATTATATCAATATTTTAAAAGGAGAGCAATTTAGTAATCTATATAACATACCCACCCTTTTACCTCCCAACCAAACATATTAGTATAACATACCCATCAATTTATTCTAGCCTAATCAAATACATTTCCCTAAACATTTCCAGTAATCTTCAAGGTGATATATCTTTCCATTAATATAATATTCCCAATAATACAACATTCTCTTGACTAAATGCACCCTATAACATATCATAAAACCCCCCAATAAAATATTAAATATAATAAAAAGCTCTAATTAAGGGTGCTTTTAATAGTTTTTGAAAATCATTGTTGCACTCGCACTTAGCTATCTCTCGAGGGTCGAATAAATAAACTCCTGCTTGAGGTAGGATTGAACAGAAATCCCCAAGACGGGGTGGGTCAATTTAGGTACCAGTTTCGCCTTTTTAGGAATCGACCCAAGAACCGAGGGCAACATAATTTTAGCAAAAATTGGGGGTTATTTGTAATTTTACGGTTCATATAAATTATGAATTCGAGTTCCATTTCTAATTCTTTCGTTCTTCGTAATCCTGTTACTTCTCTTCTCCCTAGTTAGTTAATACGGGTACGGCAAAAAAACGGTACGGGAATTATACGGGTATAATACGGTAAATGGTGAAAAATACGTTTATAAAAATTCGGCCATAAAATTCGGATACGGAAAAAATACGGTACGGATATATACGGGTTTAATTCGGTGCATTGTCAATAATACGTTTTGAAAAATACGGCAATATCAATCTTAGTTTTAACACTTTTATGGACTACCTGGTTAAAATCAACATAACATTTCCCATACTTGGTCAAATGCAATTTGAATGTATTTACAAGAACATAAAAGAGAAGTAGAGAACATCATCAAATACCTGGTCAAATGCAAAGTATTTAATTAACCAATAACACAAATACACAATATATAACTGATATTCAAATTATAGTCTCCAGACTCAAACAATTCCCAAATTCTCCCATACTTGCTTGCCTCACTTGTACAGGTTCGTGAAGAGGGCTGGACGAGTGGAATGATGGAGAAGACTCTATTTACTTGGTATCAATTTTAATTTTTTGTTTTTTCAAGTTCTTATTTTTAATTAAACGGATATTTGTAATCAAATATTAATTGAATATTCCCACCCAATTGAACTACTAAATAGACTAAACTTTGTCCTAAAAATAGTTCATCACCCCTTTAACACAATCAAATAATATTATAATTTATAACAACATGAATTCTTCCTTTAAAATATCAATTACTAAAAGAACGGTAATATATTATTAAATGAATAATGAAATAATATGAAATACAATGGTACAGATAATATAAATAAACGAATAAATAAAGAGATCCTAACTTCACACTGCACTCATTTCACATCATCACTCTACTGTCTCTACATAATCAAAACGGCAGCAAACAACCCAACTGCCAAAGATCCAGTACCAGCAAATCTGTTAAAAATGGCAGCGTTCTCTGCTGGAGCAGGAGCTTGAGACGGTGGGAAGGCGATCGACGAGGGAGAAGTCGTTGGAGCCGTAGAAGAAATCGACGGAAGAGGGGACAGCGGTGAGGTGACGACGACAGGAGAAGGAGCAGCCGCCGGTGTAATCTTCGAAGGAGACGGCGCAGCCACTGGTCGAGTTTTGGAAGCGGAAGGAGGCAAAGATGTCGGAGCCAGAACAGGAGCTGGAGACTGAGCCATTGTGGAGGCAAAGAGGAGTGAGATTAGAAGGAAAGAGATGAGAGGTGTTCTTGAGAAAGCCATTACAGTTGCAGAAGATGATGAATTTTGAGGAGAGTTTGTGTTTGTTTGTTTGTACATAGCGAAGTGAACCAGATCTGTTTCTGTTATAATTTTTTGTATAAACCCACCAAAACGACGTCGTTTTGGGGTGTGAGGTTTTGTTTTTTTTTTTCAAAAAATCGCGAATAATTCGCGAATAATTCGCGAATTATACGCGAATTATACGGTATACCTTATTATACGCGAATTATACGGCAGATTTTATAAAATTCGGATACGCACGTATTATACGCGAATTATACGGCTGTCCGTATAATTCGCGTATAATACGCGAATTAACTAACTAGGCTCTTCTCACGTTCACAAATCGCAAGTTGTGAAGTTGATTTCTCTCTCGGCTTCATGCCATTCTTGTTTGTTCTCGTTCCCATTCGGCTATATCTATACAAAGGGGAGGGAGAAAAAAAAAATCTCTCAACTTTGAGGCTTCTGTCAACGCCACCGCTGATCGTTCTCACCATCTTTCGGTGCCAATCCCAAGCTTTCCTATCATCTTGGCTGCCCTCATCTGCTTGGTTGCTAAACCATCAGGCTTCGAAGTCGCGCAATTGCGCTTGCACCAGCCAACCGCTCGCGTGACCCACTCTATGCACAATTGGTTTTGCGCGTGACAGTCGATTTGTGCGAATCAACGTGCCTAGTTCCTCACAATCACATTGCCCCAACGCGCGATTATGTGTTGCTTACTGGGCTTCAAGATCGACCTAGTCTGTGACACCATAAGCCAGTGTGCCTGCCTTCCTTGCGCGTTGTTTGCTTTTGTTTGTCACCTCCATACTGAAAATTGTGTTTTGTGGAGTTGATTGATTGTTGTTGAGTTAAGTTGTGGAATCGATTGTGTTTGTGGAGTTATTGTGGTTTGTTTTTTGGAGTGATTCGTTTGTTTGGGTTGGTTGAGGTTGGGTTTGTTTTCAACTGCCCTCCACTTGCTTGATGAAAGTCCTTACCCAATTGCACAAGGTATATTATTTTTAATTTATGTGAACAATATAGGGTATATTTGTAATTTATGTGAACAGTACAGGGTCTCGAAACCTAAACCAAAACCTACAGGTTTCGGTTCCAGTTCCAGTTCCAATATTTAGGAACCGCACAGTAACAATTTCGACTCCAATTCCTAAAACTTAGGAATTTGTATTATGCGGTTCCGTTTTCGGTTCCAATTCCTTAGTGTTAGGCAGGTACTCGACCTACTCAACCCCAGCAAGTTTTGAGGGGATAATTGTTAGTCCCTATAGTTTTAGTTTCTAAACCTGGGACAACTTTATTTTTTACTTTTAAAATCATCCTGCAAACACGGACGTTACTGTGAAATTAACAGATGAAGGACATATCTGACTTTCAATACTAAATAAAACTTTTTAAATGTAAAAAGTTATTTAAAGGAGGTTGAGTTTTTATTTTTATTTTAAATATACAAATATTTTTTTATAAAAAATATATTAAGTATTAATATAAGATACATGTTTTACTAAATCAACTCTTTTTCACCATATATTTCCTTGTCGTAAGTCGTACGGTCGTACCCCACCGCCACACTGCGCCCTCTCCGCAACCCACCCACATCTCACCTATGCACGATGAGGCAAAACCAGCCCCTCCCATGTGACGAACCGCACGGCGCCTCCGAACCAGCCTCAGCTGTAAGCCGTCGCCGCCTTTTAACCACCCTTGCGATGAGCGGTGCGCCGCCTCTTAATCACTCCAAACGAGATGCACCACCCAATTCGACATCTGCCCCATCCCATCTGCAAATTTGTGGTTCTGTGGGCTTCTTTCGTGTTATGGATTTTCTTTGGTGTAGTTTGTATTGTTTGGTTTCTGTGTACATGGTTCTGTTGTCGTCGAAAGAAACGTTGACGAGATTGTTTGGGTCATGAGGCATGTTTGGGTGGTTCAGATTGTGGTGCAATTTGGTTTTTGATTAGAATGGTTTATGGGTTTATGTTTTAATGGTGGCCCCGGTGATTTTAGAGGTTGTAATGGAGTGGGAAATGGTCATGGT